AAACACAGAAAAATCAAGATTTAAACCACTTAAAGCGATGCTAGTTTCAGCAGGCATCAGATACGCCTTATGTTTCACGATTTGGAACAAAAAAGAACGGCCTCAAGTTGTGCCAGAGGAGATTCAGGTTGGATATTAGGAAGAATTGCTTCTCAGAAAGAGCAGTGATGCACTGGCATAGGCTGCACAAGGAGGTGGGGGAGTCACCGACCCCAGAGGTGTTCAAGGGAAGGGCAGATGGAGTGCTTTGGGACACAGCTTAGTAGGCAGTATTGGTGATAGGTAGATGGCTGGACTAGGTGATCTTAGAAGTCTTTTCCAATCGTAATGATTCTATGAAAATAGTGCAATTGAAAACTACTCTCAAGTGTCAGCTAGTAATGCTGCTTCATGTATAAACTCACTTTGCATTGATTTCTGTATCAGCAGGCCACCTGCAGCCAAAGAAATCACAAACACAGCCTCGTGCCAAAGAAAACCCCAACAATACAAATTTGTGGTCATCCCTTCAGCCGCATCCCTGCAGCCAATGGAACTGGAAGATAGAAATTTCTGCACTGTGGTTTACAGCATCGTTATGGTCCTCAAGGCTGGGTTGGATGGAGCCCTGGGCAGCGTGACCCAGTGGTCAGCAACACTGCCTGTAGCAGGGAGCTGGAACTCAATGATCTTTAAGGTCCCTTCCAACCCAAGACACTCTATAATCTAGCTAAGTGCTGAGGGCCAGGGTTTTTACTGCAGAAGACCCCTAATAACAGACATCTGTAAACCTGAAGTAATTCGCATTGAAGATCATTTTCTCTGCTCCAAATGAAATTTAACTTGGATCAGATGAAAATGCAGCTTGTATTTAATCTGGGAAAGAGCCTATGTGTATCATGTCCAGTGAGAACAACACTATGTCACTGTGCCTGTAAGAATTCAGGTATGCTTGCATAGTGATAGGACAAGGAGGAATGGTTTTAAACTGAGACAGGAGAGGTTATGTTAGATATTAGGAGGAATAGACAGAGGGTGGTGAGGCACTGGAGCATGCTGCCCAAGGAGGCTGTGGATGCCCCATCCCTGGAGGCATTCAAGGCCAGGTTGGATGTGGCTCTGGGCAGCCTGGTCTGCTGGTTGGTGACCTGCACGTAGCAGGGGGTTGGAACTGGATGAGCACTGTGCTCCTTTTCAACCCAGGCCGTTCTATGATTCTATGATACACTGTACAGACTAGTGGGAGAGACAGCAGACACTTTACCATTAGTACCATTCTAATAAGAATGAAAAAAGTGTCTTAGCACTACATGCAGGATACTTACTTGCCTTCTCTCCCTGGATCACAGAATTAATGGGTTGGGTTGGAAGGGACCTTGAAGCCCGCTCAATTCCAACCTCCTGCAATGGGCTGGTTGGTCCCCACCAGATTAGGTTGCCCCATCCAACCTGCATCCAAAAACCTGTGATCAGGCTGATCCCTTATTCATCAAACTCACAGGCACCCAACAGGGCACAAAACTCAGTCTGAGGGAGCTGATGTGCAGAAACATGTTTCTAGGCTGTGAGAGGCCAGGAACTGAATGCTACCTCAATTAAAGGTTATGGTGAAATTCCTTACAGAGCCATGAGTTCAGCCCAAGAGTCAAAACACATTTCTGAAAGACATGGAATTTCTTTTTCTAACAGTTATTGCAGTAGAAACAAAAAGGAATAATGATGACTGTTATCATATTTGTCTTTCACTAGATTGTTTTCGCTTTTATTACATTTGGCCACAAAGTCCCAGAGCTAACCTTTTTCCAAACTCAACCTCTGCTAAAGAAACAAATTATGCTATTAACACAGCATAGGCATAAGCAAAAGCTCAATGCTTTTGCTGCTACAAGATGTGTCTGTCTTGTCCATCTGTCTTCGCCTTCCACACCTCTCTGCCCCTGAGATCTGATGGATTTCTGGGATAAGCACACAAAGCCCAGCCCTGCTCCATGGATTTGCCCAAATCTGCACCCACACTGCTGAGCCGAGGTCAACACCAGCACGGAAGGAGCAACCAACAAAAGCAGCGATAACAGGCACCTGCTGAGAACATTTTAAGAAAGAACCCTGCCCTAAGAAAGGTGCTTATTAAAAGCCCAAAACACCAGTGGCAGGAGCAAGCAGTCACCTTAATGCAATTTCAAGCACTGCTCCCACAAAACACATTTTCTTTCAGCTTAGCAGAACACCGGTGTTCTCCAGACCCAGGGCGCAGCCAAAGCTGCTGCGAGATCCCATCAATCCTTGGGAGCCTCAGATAAGAGCTTTACTTGGTGCATTTTCACTGTGCTAGAAAAAAAGAAAGTAAAACACCCTTGCACAGAGCGCACTGATTACCCTGAAGATAGCTCTGTGTGCTCTGGGGGTCTGTGTCCCTTTGTACAGCCATGCTGACCCCATCTCCTGCAGGGCTCTCGGATGCTGTGCCAACCACACACAGGGAGCATTTCTCTCCCAAATTTAACCTCATTTGTAGCCAAATGCTGTAGGTTCACAACATTCCTAAAAAGCAAATCCCAAAGTAAGGCTGAAAAATCAAATACACGGCTGCTTTCTGCACCAGGCTGCCCACCACACTAGATTCCTGCTGGGAACCTCTGACGTTCCACGCTTTAAAACTGCTGCAGTTTTGTCTATAAATGCTTTCTTGTTTGGATCCATCTCTGCCAATTCCAAATAATTTGTCTGCACCTGTGTTTCATTTTGAAATCCACCGGTTCCATTTCAGCCCTGATGAAGAGCCCGTCTGCCAAAATAACTCATATTTCAGCTGTATCCGTTGGCCTAAAAGATGATATTATCTCTATCTACAAGCCCTCCCCTGGATGTTAAGAAAAGATTTACGGTCAAGTGTGATGGGATTGTGTGTGTGCGAGCAATCTCAAAAGAGAGTGTTCTTTAACCTGAAAAGAAGATGGAAAGGTTTTTTTTTGAGGATGCTCAAGATGTGTTTTAAAAATCTACCACCAGTCTTTCCTTTCTCCTCCTCCTCAACTTGACACTGAAAAACCCCTTCAGAGCTGGTGAATCCAAGCATAAAAAGAAAAGCCTGGACGTGGTCAGCAGCCCAAATCCGTGCCTTCCACCGAGCGTCGGCAGAAGATACTTGAACCAGATTTGCTCTACTGGACACCATTAAGTTTGGATTAAGCAGAGCTGAATCCAATGAAAATTACTATTTCTATAAAGGCCAAATAAGGCTGTGACCTGGATGACAAAAATAAGAACTAAATCATGTTTCAGTGCACAACACTGATCGCTAAGATGAGTTAAAAAACAAATTCCCAATCCATTTTTTGCTCTGATGTCCAACGGGACAGATTTGCCTCTGTAACATCACGCTTCAGCAGAGAAAAAGCAGAATGGAGACCAGACCGGCATGATTTATGCTCCCAAATTAGGCCAGTCTAAAACCTGGGCAGGAGGAATAGGTGTTTTTTTAAAGGATAATGTTCCAAAGCTGTCTGAGTTTTCCTGTTTCCTGACATCTCACAGCTTTCCTGAGCCCTCAGCAGGGAGGACATGTGATTTAATTAGAGCACGACTCAGAAGCATGGTACTCCCAAACCCTGCTCCCAGCTGTGCCCCTGACTCTGGGACAACAACCGTGATGTCTGAGCCACAGATTTAAGAATGCATGGGGAACACCTCTGTGTGTCCTCTTCCTCAATGAGCTTAAGAGTGTAATTAAGCTCCACTTGGCACTTTGGAATTATCAGAAGGCAAGTGCTATGTAAAACCCTATTAATAAAGCCTGCATTTAATATTCTGGTAAATAATGCACTTTTGCAGGAAATTAGCCTCCAGTGATGTGCAGCTAGAGAGCCTGACAGTCAGCTGCTGACCACAGAGCTGATGCGGGCAGCAGGAGAGGGTGGGAACCTCCTCAAAAAATGCTGTCAGGCAATGTCTTTAAACAAATTCTAAGTCCTCAATCCACTCCTTCTATGGAAATCAATGAATCGCTAATTCATTCTTTACCATCAAAATCGACTAAATCCAGCACACCAGGCTACGTTAGTATGAATGTGAGCTAAATCCAGAGCTGAGGAATATCCAGGTGGGAGGAAACACTTCCCAACAGCACTTCACATCACATTAGTGACTCCATTAATAATATATCTGGGAACTTTTTTCAATGCCCCATTCTGCCCACCTCTCACTCCCATGCATAGGCTGCTCTAAGCTTGGGCTCTTCAAGAAGAAACCTTTCAGAAGATTCAAAGTTGAGGTCTTTTAGCAAATGACATTTGTGCAAGCACTTGTGTTTCAGCAATGCCAGTGAAAAAAAAAAAAAAAAAAAAAAAACAGCTTAGAAAAGAGATGCAAGCAGCACAAGGCTTGGCCAAAGCAGCACCTACACCAACACACAAACACTACGGTCAGAAAAGACCCCTAAGATCAACCAACTATCAACCCAACTCTGTGAGACAGACCACAGCCACCAAGTAACTTTACCGGAGCTGTGCACAGTGCTCTTTGCCACTGCTTTGCAATTTACTGAAAGGGTGAAACGAACTCCGGCAGCAGGGAATCGCTCCTGCAGCTCTAAATCAGTGCCGTGAGCATCCGCCGGGCACAGGAGCAGCTGCCGGCAGTTCTTTACCGATTTGTACGGGATGACCATCCCCAAATTGCAGTCACTCTCTCACCTCAGTACCTTTGCCATGCACTTTAAAGTGTCACAAAGACTTTGAAAACGGTCGCAAAGCCAATTCTTAGAGAACTAAAGAAGAAAGAGGAGGAAAACCCGACCCGAAGGAGTGGAGGGAATGTCAGAAACGCGAACGACGAGTCCCTATATTCAGAAAGGGCTTAGCAAACCCGCTCCGAACCCGCTGCGCGGAGACGTCGGAGGTGAGGGGGGACGGGGCAGGAGCGCGGGCGGAGCCGTTCCTTGAAGGCGCCGCTCCGGCACGGACCGACGGAGGGATGGAGGGATGAATGGACGGACGGACGGACGGACGGAGGGGATTTCTCACCGCTGGAGCGCCGGACGATGTTCTCCAGGAAGGTGTTCTGCGGTGCCACCAGCCCTCTCTTGCCCCCCGGCATCCTGCAGCGCCGGGCTCGGGGGCCGGGGGTGCGCGGCGGCAGCGGGGGGGGGGGGGCGTTGGGGGGGGGGCCGGCGGCGGCTGGTGCGCCCGGTGCCCGTGAGTCGCGCAGGGGCGGCCGCGGGCGCTCATGGTAGTGGCGCCCCCGCGGCGGCTGCAGCGCGGACTGGGACCCGCCGCGCACGGCGCCGCCGAGCGCCGCCGCCCGCGCCCCCCTGCGCCTGCGCGTCCGCCCAGCCGGGCCGCTCCAGGACGGGCAGCGGGGGCGGAGCGGAGCGGGGCTCCCACACGCTGGAGTGCTGCCTGCCGAGGGTGAGATGGGGTCTGCGAGGAAGGGTTGGGAAGTTGTGCCTTGCCCGAAAGCGAGAGAACGTCAAACCGCTAGATTTTCATCTGGAAATTGCTTTTTTACGACGGCGTTCCCGTGTTCCCAGCGGGGGCAAACGGATCATTAAATGTTCTATCACAAAATTGAAGCCGGGTGTGTTTTGCCCACTAATCATCGTGTGCATTGAAATGTATAAAAAGCCTTGCATGAATCCATCAACCAGTTTTGGGGGCTTCCTCCATTTTCCAGGGAAAGCAAGTGCGAGGGAGAGACAAAGGGAGGCAGCTTTGGAGCCTCGGCGGAGCAGATGAGTCAGTGCAGATACTGCGCTGACCGCCGTACGGCTGTCGCTGACTCCTGCCCCAGCCACGGTCTGCTCGAACATTGCCTCTTGAAGGTATGGTTAGCAAAATCCCGGAAGGAATTTCTCCACCTACTTCTTCTGCCTCTGCTCACTTTGCACGCAACTACAGAATAGGAAGGATCGTAGAAGGCAATGGCAAGTAGCTATTAGATTGCCTGGGCAACGCGTGCCAGGGCAGGAGCACGGCCGATGTGCTGCACTCTGCTGCCTGCCTCCACCATCCCATCCTTCCCATACTTAGGCCCTGGTCCAAAAAGTTGTGCTGAGGTCACACAACCCCTGCTTAGAGCTGAAGAGCTCTGCCTCACCAAGAGCTGCTGCAGGAGCAGCGCTTCTAGTCCTAGAGCCAGGAGTACTGCTGCTGCCAACTGAGATCTGGTTCTGCTTTCATTTTAACAAATGCAGACAGGAGCATCTCCACTACAGTGGGTGGAAGGATGCTGCTGCTGAGCTCTGCCCCATACAGGGAAACCTGGCTTTGGTGGCTGGTGGGTAGACAGCACCTTCATGCCACCCAGACGAGCCACAGACGTTGAAAATAACTGTGTACAGGCAATACTATGCATCCGACCTCTCTGTACAGCATTGCTGGGGCTTCTGCTCACCTGTTTTCTCTGTTCCACACAATTTGAATTCTTGTACTCAATTCCCATCCTTGTTTTGAAATCTCCCATGCTCTAGACACATGCCTTTTTATTTACACATCAACCCCTTTCTTGTTGACTCTTTCTCCTAAATGTCTCCATCATGTCCAATGCTCTGGGCTTTACCCAGTTTCACCTGCTACATCTACAAAAAGCCCAATGCCCCATGTGCACAGATCAGCAAGCACAGCAAAAGCACAGCCAGCACACACTGCACAGCTCATGTCCATCTGGAGAAGAGCTGACCCTTTGAATGTGAACCTACAGGACAGTGTTATTTTACTTCAGGGAGTACTAAATATTTCCAAAACAGTTCTTCTCCACAGCATGTATTTCCCACAAATTTATGAATGAAGAATCATCACCTTGGACTCAGGGGGCTCCTAGAAGAAGTGTAGATCAGACACTGAGCTCTGATCATCTGCCCCAATGGCCTGAGCCATTCAAGCATGTGAACCAACCAACAGTGATCTCCAAAGCTAGCCATGTTTGGTTTGCAGTATCTCATCACCTAGGGGTATATTGCTGAAATAGAGGCTCAAACAGGTGCCAAGAGGGAGAGGTCTGAGGCATGCTGGCTGCAGGAGAATTTGCCCCTTCTGTACCTTCACCATTCAGATGAAATCTGAGCTCAGAGCTTATGGTAGATGTGGCCAGAAGATGTGTCTGGATTCCTTCATTGTTTTTTGGGACTGCAGACTTCACAAAGGAGGAAATACCTCTGCATGTAGAGTATTTAACAGCTGATGATAGCCAAGTTAACAGCTAGTTATAGCAAGAAAGAATAATTGTGAGGGGGAAAAGAGGTGGGGAGAGGGATTACATTACAATTTCTTTACTATTTCTCCATCTTTTGTTTTGTTCCCTTTTCAAAATTTGAACAATTGGTTTGACAGACAGGAAATCAATACAACCTTGACAAAAGTTGTTACTTTGGTATAAAAATAAAAACTGATGGAAAATATTGACAAAAATTCAGAGCCAAAGTACTTGCTGGTATCTGACTTGGCACCAGTGAGAATTCTTCATTCTCTGCTGTGTTGCACAGGTAAGTCTTGACAACCTGACCTAGAGGTTACGGAGCTCCCATCCCTTACTATCTTTGGCAGTGCAAAGCAAAGGGATGCAGAACTTGCATGAAGATACAGCATTCAGATGGATGTGGATAGCTGAGGCAAGCACCCAGGAATCAGGAAGAATCCAGGCTTCCTGCATGCTGTACATCTAGGATGCACTCCGGATGGTTCTCAGTGAATGGAATGCTCAGTATTTCTCCTTCACACTTCTCATTCAACGTGGCCCTGTGCCATACTGCCAGGACCCCAGCCAAACTCCACTCAAGTATGGAGGAATTAATTTCTTCATGGTGCTCTTCACTAATCTCCTGGTGCTTGGTAGGCATCAGTGAACTTCTGCCTTTTTCCTTGTCATAAAGGGATCAGACAGGAAACTGGGGCACAGTGAGATTAAGGTCAGAATCATCTGGTAATTGTGAGTGTCCAACTTGAGATATCCAAGAGCAAAGGAGTCCCACTTTGTTAGAAGATTATGAGTCCAGCGCCCACTGAATTCATAGAATTGTTTGAGCTGGAGAAACATTTAAAGTACTCCAAATGCCTGTTTCTCACAAGTTTGTGGAAATGGCCAGAGAAGAAAACAGTGCAAGAAAGCAGGTTTGAGAATCTTTTGTAGTTTCATGGAAAAGCCCTGTATCAGATTTAAGCATTACTGATCTTGTAGCACGAGGCTTCTTATACATCTTGCTTTATTTCTTCATACCTTTTGATTTCACAAACACACGCCCCAAAAAATTGTAACAGGCTAAAGATAGATGTTGCAAGCAAGTGGGCATGAGGCATGTATGCGCTCACATACAAAATATTACTTGGAATGTAACCAAAAACTGTCACAGTAAATAGACACTGGGGCAGAAGAGGCCATCAGATAGGCATTGCCTCGTTTTGGAGTACTTGTCTGAGAAGCTCTATTTTTGCCCAGGGAGCTATGGGTGCCCCAACACTGGAGGCGCCCAAGGCCCTGAACAGAGCCCTGGGCAGCTTGAGCTGATGGGGGGCAACCAGCCCACAGCAGAGGGTTGGGACTGGATGATCTTTAAGGTGCCTTCCAACCTAAGCCATTCTATGGTTCTATAATTCTATGATTTTACCATAGGCTTCCCTTAAACCAGAATCTGATCCTTGAGGGGAGCAAGATTAAAAAACAGCACTGTAAAATGGTCTCATTTTATGAATGATGTTTTTCACATTCCTTCACCCGCAAAGTCTGTGCTTCAGTTACCATCAGTCCAACTGTGCCATCACAAGCAGCCCCCAGAACTTCTGAAGTGAACCCATGTAACACTTATAACTTCATGTTCAAACTTTTTAAGTCCATTATCTCAACATCAGGGAGAGGCTGCAGGGTCCGAACTGAAACTGCTGTGGGCTTTGAGGAAGCTTCCTTCCTTTCAAGGGCACAGAGTTCTTATTTCTAATCCTGCAAGGAAGACTTTGCAGATGCTGCAGCACATTTGAGGCCAGAGAATAAGATGCTGTGAGAAGAGCGAAAGTTTTCCACTTCTTTGAGACTTTTAGGGTAGAGAAGATGGCAATTTCAAACTCCTGCTTGGAAAAGAGAGGAAGAAAGAGTCCTCTGAGTTAACCTAGAAAAAGAAAACAAAACAACAAAACCAACAATAAGATCAAGTATCATAGGACAGCAGCTTGCAGCTGCCCAACAAGTGAGGTGGGAGACAACAGTAGGTAGGATGCAGTCACATATGTCAGAGGTATAAATGGTTCTGTAGGTATTTACCTTCTAGATTCCTTCCTGAGAAAAAAAGTGAGTGAAGCCAATAACTTTTGGTCTGACATCACAGAGTGAATAATTACAGAATACAGAATAATTACAGAAAACAAACAAAAAAAAACACAACAGATTTCCTCCTCGTGGAGGAAATGTTTTGTTTTGTTTTAAAGGGGAAAATATTCCTTTCCTCAAATGAGTAATGCCTGAAAGAACAGCCAGGTGAAGGTAGATTTACAGAGAATTCCTGTGCTCCAAACAAACAAACAAACCACCCAACATTTTGGGTTATTTCAGCCAACAGCTGAATCATCAAAAGTAAGGATTCCAGATGGGAAACAATCCACAGTTGTATCTTTGAAGAGATGTTTTGCATTCAAAGTAGTTCAAAACAGCATCCAGATATAAAAACACCTCACAGAAGGGTTTGGTACTACTTGAACCAGCAATAAATCCCAGTCACAGTATTGGCTGGATACTCAAAAATAGTATCCTAAGAGCAGAAATGGAGATTTGGGGGAGGCATACTGTGTGAAAGTATAACAGAGGCCCCCCAAAACCATGATGTTCTCCTTTGAGACCCAATTTCACCAACAGGAAACTGAGGTGCTAATAAATGAATAGGTGCAAACACGCCATACTTTTCCTTACCCACAGTCTCCCATCAGGAACAGGAGAAAAGCAAGCACCCTGCTGGATGATGGAGCCATTGCCTACATCAGAGATGGTTTTCAGGCTTCCTGCAGACTCAGACATGAATTACTTCATAGATTATCATCTAACAGGCTTTATTTGTGGACTCCCAGGGGAAAAAACTTTTCATTTTTAAAGGTAAATCTGGAATTCTATATAATCTTGTGACTTCA